TACAACCTAATCAGAATCAGAATGACGATAATCCAGCGGTAAGAAATTTTTACATATGATTCAGTTATTTTAAACATTTTCTTATGTTTAATGAGGAATATAGTATGAAAGCGTAAATTATAATGAAACCGGTGAGATGCAATCAGTCAATATAACAGCCAAAATTACTGATGCAATCAAAAAGAATCAAGGTAATGAAACCCAAAGTTTGTGTTAAGGTAAATTAATAATACTAATGCCGACCTGCAATTTAATGAGTATTCAGACTCGGATGTACAACCTAATATTGGATCAAGAGATGTACCATTCGTTCTTGTTAATGATCCCATTCCGATAAGAATGTTAATTAATATTACTTCATGTAAAATTTATTTAAACCCACCTAGATATTATAAATACAAAAAAAAAATTGAATCGCAATTAATTTTGAATAGCTCTAATTATACTGTATAATTTTTTTTACATAGGAATTTTTTGTCAATAAAAGCAATGAACCAAGTAAGAATTAAATAAAATTTTTAGTGATAATTATCATTAATTATTTCTAACAGCTTGAAACTACCCAGCTTCAAATGATTCCATTAACATTTTGGTATGTAAACCTGTTTTTTTTATAAAAAATTAGAATCGAAAAATAACTAAATATAATTAATAATGAAATTGTAAAAATGAAATTTAAAAAAGTAGTCGGACGAATATCCGATAACTTCATCGCGTGGAAAAAGTAATGATACTGTCGTCTTATATAAAAGGAGAAATAAGAACCAGTCCAATATAAATAAAAATCATACCCCAGAAAACCAGCTTAATTATGAGTATGTTAATAATCCTCAGGTATAGTAAAAAAATTAATTCCAATAATATATTATTTTCTTATTATTTTTATTATTGCTTAATCGCATTGGTTTTCATAATTGGCCTCTGGCTTTTTTTAAATTTTTATAAACTCTTCAGTATTATTAATATTAATATCTTATTCATTTTTTTTAAAGACAACTATAGTAGAATCTTCAAATTCAAATGATTCAGAGTTTTCAGATTTAGATGATAACACTAATTTAGTACATACTTTATAATTTGACCTTTCGTTAAAAATTTATAAATAGATCACTGAAGCAAATAAATTAAATCCAATCTTTTAATTTTCTATATCTAAAAGAATATTAGTAGAAAGAGAAAGGTGTTTGATAAAAAAGGAAAAGGTAATAAAATTTAGGTTTGCTAATGCCGTTACCATAATAATGCCCAGTGCGTTATTTTGAACTTTGGCTGGAATTAAGCTTAATTTAGGCCAAAATGTAGATTTACTCATGGTTGTTATATTGCTTAGTAATAACTAATTGTTATATTTACTATATAGAGCTGGATACGAATTTCAAGAATTGTACATCTGTATATGTAGACAAATTAAAGAGACTAAGGAAAAGTTTCGCAGCGGAAGATCCAAGCAATTTATTCAAAATGTATATGCAACCACCCGAAAAATACTTTAAAGAGAATCCAACAAAAATATCTTTAAATCCATTA